ATTCTTTTTTGTTTGTTGCAGAATATTAACATGCGATAACATGAGATAAAGGTTTATTGTCACTGATGACATGTAAAGGTTATAAAAAGACAGTTGGTGGGTATATGTTAAAAATTATTCCAACCCTAAAACAATAAAACAAAAACAAAAATAAATGTACGCTCTAAATGTGACATATGCCGACATACAGATGAAAAGTTACAGAGGGAAGAAAGTATGGAAAAGCAAGATAACAGTAGGGGCTTCATGTATAAAACTTTCCTAAACTCATGAGGGCCATCTAGGGATTGTCATGCGAAAAGCATCCACCTGGCATATAGCTTTTAGAAATAAGTCTTATACATAAAGCCCTAAGTGCCAGCCACAGAAGGGATGCAATATATGGAAATCAACATAAAAAGCTGACCATAAATGTGGCAATCTAATTGAGTGATCAAGCATTTGTTTCCTTTTCTTTGTTGAAAATGGAAAACAATCAAAGACATGAATTGGGGATTTTGTTCAAATATGGAATCAAAATCCAATTGACTTCTGTGGCATTGCTGTAGGTTTTTTCTTGTTTTGATTTAATTTAAATTTTCACAATTTCGTTCAATGTTTCTTTCAGTAAAGTTTAGTCATGCCAACTGTATAGAGAGAAACTATGGTGCTTCTCAAACTGTAGGTGGATTTTGTATATGAATAGTATGTATGATGTATTAGGGGGGAAAAATAATTAAAAATTTAGGCAAAAAGGTTACCTCAAAAAGGATATACCAGAACTGATTAAACTGAAAATTCTGCACATCCAGAGATGCATTCAATCAATATAAGACTAGCTTCAAATTCACAATCAACCAAGATCTGATGGCTTATCAAACTCATGGGTGATAGATTGCTTAATTTCTGGTATTTGTATTTACAATTCCTAGTGGATCAAATCTGGTTAAAATTGTCAGAAAAGTACCACATATATGACAAGCTTTAGCATAGCCATATCATAGTGCACCAGGCACTAGAAAGGAGAAATAAGAGAAAGCCCAAAATATACACATATTCAGGAAGAGAGCATGTGCTGAAACAAAGAAAAAAGTAAAAAGAGAGTAAGGGATATGTACTTAAAAGTATGCCACTACCCCATTTCTTGAAGTATACTCTGTAGTTCTCTCTCTCTCTCTCTCT